ACCTCTACTAAGAGAGGGCAGGCTGGCATCACACACCTCAGTCATGGAGTTTCTAGGTTGGAGTTGATTTGGTTCAGGGTGGTTTGGAGTGCGTGGAGGTGGGATGATTTCATATCTGTCAGCAAAACACTAGGCAGACCTGTTTTGGTTGAGAAAGAACAGTTTATGGGAAACCTGTTTGGGAGAGTTACTTGGCTAAATCCAGTTGCTCTTGTGATATCCTAGTCTCTCCTAGGAGTTTATATTATAATATGTACGTTCTGTTCTCAGTCATGTCTGCCTCTTGCATATAGTTTGGGATATTTCATTATCTGAACTAGTAGCATGAATTTATACACAGAATTTCTGATCTATATGTTAAACTTTTCTGTTCTCACTGACTATGAAACCTCTTAATTGCTCATTAGGGCTACTTATTTTGGCTGAACAGTGGGCTGTTCAGTCAGTGAACTAGCTAATCCTAAAATATTTTGATAGATATATTTTGACTGTAAAAACCACACAAATAAAAGCCAGCTTAATTTATCTGGAAGCTTAAGTGCTGGAGGCAAGGTAACTGTGACAAAAGCTTGCCCTGTAAAGAGTATTTGGGGCACTTAGAACAAAACCCAATACATGCACCCTCTTTCCTGTTCCATTCTCACAACTCAGCCTTGCTTGTCAGTAGTTATTACTCAGTATCTGTTCTTGAATTTGAAAACCAAACCAAACCAAAAACCCCCAAACCATCCATAAAACACTCCAAACCTCTAGAAGGCCCATATATTCCTGAGGACAGTTGGCAAAATATATTCTTTTCCCCTTTTATTTAATTTTTAAAGGTCTTTAGGGTCTTTCTGGCTAGTGAATTCTGATTGTACCTTCACTTACAAGTTAAAAAAAACTTCTCCTCATCTCTAATATCTCCTATATCTCCTAGTAATCTCCAGTTATTTTCTTTTTTTCTATTTTCCTTTCCTTTCTTTTCCTTTTTTTTTTTTGTTGTTGTTGTTGTTCTTATTAATTTAACAAGTAACTTTTCGTGGTAGATCAACATGGGACTTCCAGTTATGATTTTGTTCTGTATCTGACAGTGGACTAATTATGCCTTGTCAAACTTATAAAAATGTTTTTGAGTAAGATAGATTTTAGCAAAAGACAAGAGAATGCTGCCTCACTTCTATATTTGTCATGATTCTAATAAAGGAAACAGCTTTCAAAGCCCCTGCCAGTTGCCCTGAATGTCTGTCTGAAAGTGCTAAACAACAGTCAAACCCAACTGTTCCAGATTTATTTATAACTGACTTCTTAGTTATCAATCAGGGCTGCAGCATCATACGTCTTGCATTCCTGTCTTTGAGATTCACTTACAGTCATGTTAAGCTCAGTAGGTCAAGTGTACTTGACTTACTGTGATCCTGTATATGCAGCAGCTGCATAGAAGACAGAATGTTATTACCAGGACTCAAAGGATAAAGTTTGAGTGTGTTGTGTAATTTTTTTCACAGCTTTTTGGTCTATTTTATATTTATAAAGAGTACTTCTTTTCTGAAGTTATTATGGAGTCACTGAAAGAAGTACCACAATAAAGTGTCTCCGTCATTAGAAGTTCCTTCAGAAATAAAATTAAATCTTTTTTATTTAACTTTTTTATTTTATGCTGTTTTGATGCATTATGTCTTATCAGGCATTTCTTTAAAAAAATACAGTGAAAGGATATATTTGAGATATTTGAAATTATGCTTGGTGCAAAACTCAGTGACATGACTTAATCAGCTGTCAAATACTCATTAATTCAAATGTTTTCTCCCTTCCTTTTTCTAGATATCTTCGCTGCCATGTTGCATTGCTAGTCTGTAAATTCTCTGAATTTTGACTATGATTCTTTCAAATGGGAAACATGTCCAAAAAAAAAAAAAAAAGACAAATTGAATTATAGAGGAGAAAATAAGTTGGTTTTTGTGTGCTAGCAATTTCAAAGGAAAAGAAGAAAGATGGACTGGTGGAATGCAGTGGGGATGATGTGAAAGCTAATCTTTGTTCACACATTAATAAAGCCTGACCTCCAAGGCTTCTCCCACCTACTTGAATGTGCTCCACTGGAAGTAAAATTTTACTCTGCTCTTTCTGAAAATATGCCCTCACTTCCAGGCAGACTTCAGTGTCCTTTTGATGGATAGCCTTTTGTCATTACTACTTCGTGTCTGTAGAGTCAGGCCAGTGGGCAGTGTCTGGACTTATAACAAAGTTCAATTTTTCATGTTTGTTTGCTTTGATAAGGATTTAGGTAGCAGTTTGGAGCAGACAACATCAGTAGTTGATTCTATAGGTCAGCATTGTCAGCTGAGTTTTACACTGGCACCATTTTACATCATGATTTTCTGGCTTCATAGTTACATCCAGGTGATGGCATCCCTCACAGTCCTGAGTGTATTAATACAGGCTTCCAGAAACTATTTATTCGTATAATTTATTGAATTTGTGGAGTGTTTACAATGTTGGTGCAATATATGAATTCCCTATAGTCGCACTAGATTAGGAGCATTTTGTTGATATTCTTAGGGCTAGGAACAAAAGGCTGCAGGGAACTATTAGCCATGGCTAATCTGATCAAGCATGAAATCTGAAAGATTAAAATAAAATGTTGCTTACAGTCTAGTGACCTCCCCCTCAAACACACACCCTTGAGGGCTTTATCTGGTTAGTTCAGTGAGCAAGTCAGGCCATAGATGTGTAGTGAGCCTTATTAGCTAATTTATTAGTTGCTATGGTTGATTAGCATAGCTGCAGTGGCCTGTAAACTGTTTTCAGGACTAGCTGGACTCCAGAAACATTCCTGCAGCATTAAGTTTGAACAAAGAGGGTTTTCCTGGATTTGGCATCCTGAGCAGGATGGTGTCACCACAGGTCTGCTTAAGCACATTGCCTCTGAGTTGGTGCTGGACCTGACGGACATAAATGGTTGTGTGTAAAATAATCCTGAACTACAATGTCTAGCATGGTGAGTTACACGAGGCTTATTTCAATGCCGTGCCAACATTACGATTTTGGACTTTGGGGATCGCAGATCAACACTGATATATCTGCACCGTATTCCTCAAGCACATCTATACTATCTATATTATCCAGGTTTTCCAGTTTTCACAGATATTCTAGGGTTTTTTTACCCTTACTGAATCTTGCCTGACATCACAGAATACACTGTGAGCATGTTTGGGAAAGCAATCTGGCTTGGTCAGTGGTTGAGTTTTGGTTATTATAATAAAAAAACCAAAATCATGTCATAGATCAAACAGCCCGTGCAAGATGCATTGGTTGCCAGTGAGTTCAATGTTTAGGTTGCCGAGAGAAGAGGGATGGGTGGCATCCAGCTGTTTTGTCACTGAAAGTCTATATTATGCACTTGGGCAAGGGAAGCTGATAACAGCTGACAATGTGTATAGGATGTTGCTATTTATAGTTCTGAGCATCTGTATTATTGCCTTAACATTTCTTTTCACCCCTCCTATGCATTGTAAAGCTTAGCACCATGTTTTTATGTTGGTGTCATCCAGGAGGTGATTTCAGTGCTTTGCTTCTGAGTAAGGCCAATTCATTCCCGTTGCCTGAGAAGTCTTTAGATTACTTCCTTTGGCATCTGTTTGGACACGTTAGTAACGGAACTGGCAGAATCATAAATGCCATGTGTTGGTCTTGGGTAAACAGATGCCCAGTTTGTCATGTGTTTACTTGGCTTTCACCACAGAGTTTTGGGAAGTAAATGTGGTTTGCAGCTAAGTATTTTTTGAGTACCTATGAGATGTTGAGAAATAATGAGATAGGCGCTAAAGAATGGTACCAGACGTAGTTACACTTTACCATGACAGACTCTATTTCTCTGCGGCAAAATCCAGATAATTCATATTTTGTTGAAATAGAAATTGATGGGTTTTTTACTTATTTGCTGGTCTGCTGAGTTAAGCAATGCTTATGCTAACTACAGTCATTTTTTTCCCTTTTTTCATTAAACAGATGGTGCCGACTGTTTCAAAAAACATTCTTTAAGGTTTTTTTTTTTAACAGATTGCTAGCTTTAAAACAACTTTTTAAAAAGTCTTTACTGATTTTTTTTCTTTTTGAGTACTATGATTTTTCTAGCAATCACTAAAAACTGCACAGTGTATTTTAAAATTACAAAAATTATGCAAAAGTCTTCCTCTGTTTCTTTCCATTTAGGAGGACTGATGTTTGGATAAAGATGAGATTTAGAGTGAGAAAATGAAGGATGACAGAGCTTGGAGATAGGATGGGTTTGGAATGGGAGGAATGCTTTGGCTTTACAGCTGATCTAGATGTGTGGTGCAGCAGGCTGATCCTCTTGTGTTTTCCCTGTTTTTCAGTTAGCTGTTTTCTTATTTGATAAAAATAAGCACACTTGCCCCTACTGCTCCACAGGGGACACTAAGGGTGAACAAGTTCTCATGAAGAAGAAAATAGTGTATGCAAAATTGCATTAAATAACATTGTGAAGTGATTCTCATGCTTTAATTCAAAACAACTGGTGGGACAGACTGTGTGAGTCTTCCTGATGATAATGTTAGATGGGAACACCATTGTTGGTAGTCTTCTGACTG